TGCCCTGTCCATATGGAGGAAACCTTGGTTTCTGTCCCGAGGCCCAGTATTGGGAGTGTCATGTCACCGAAAGCTCGTTTCGACAGACTCATCCCTTACGGGTTAGGGCGCGGTCATGGACGGCCGCTTTGCGAGAGGTCTGTGGCAGGGCCAGCATTCCTCATGGCACATAAATTGCCTAGAAATGCTAGCGGTTTACATGGCTCTGAGGAGCTTTCTCCCAGATCTCAGCGGTCACCATGTCCTAATACGGGCAGACAACATGTCGGTAGTCTCGTATTTGAATCATCAGGGGGGTCTGAGGTCGCGCCCTCTGTGCAGACTGGCGCATCAGATCCTCCTGTGGTCCAAGGGGAAACTGCCATCTCTCAGAGCGATGTATATCCCTGGGGACCAGAATCAGGGAGCAGATGTCCTGTCGAGGCAGGGGTTGAGGCCCGGGGAATGGAGACTTCACCCAGAGGTGGTGAAGTCGATATGCGAGAGGTTCGGCCCAGTGGAAGTGGATTTGTTCGCGTCTCAAGAGACGACCCACTGTCCACTGTGGTTTTCTCTCACGCATCCAGCCCCGCTGGGGTTGGACGCCATGGTACAGATGTGGCCGAGACTACGCCTGTATGCTTTTCCCCTGATCGCTATGCTCACGGGAGTTCTGGAGAGGGTCCGGAAAGAAGGGGTCAGTCTATTGCTGGTAGCCCCGTTCTGGCCGGCCCGGGTGTGGTTCTCAGATATCATGTCACTCCTGGCAGGCCAGCCGTGGCAGATCCCTCTGAGGAGGGACCTGCTGTCTCAGGCAGGGGGCGAGATATTTCACACTAAAGGTGTACGTGGCTGCCATTGCGGCTTTCCACGCTCCTTTCTGGTCATGCGTTTCCTCCGTGGTGCATGGAGGATGAGGCCTGCGACTCATTCCAGAGTCCCAACTTGGGATCTGGCTGTGGTCCTTGAAGGGCTGTCACTTGCCCCCTTCGAGCCTCTCGAGTCAGCTACGGCAAAGAACCTGACCTTTAAGATGGTCTTTCTCCTGGCAATTACTTCGCTCAAGAGAGTGGGGGATCTCCAGGCCTTGGCTATCTCGCCGACCTGCCTGGAGTTTGCCCCTGGAGGAGTTAAGGCCATTTTACATCCTAGGCCTGGCTATGTGCCCAAGGTGCCATCTAATAGGGCATGGCCGGTGGTTCTTCAGGCCTTCCATCCTCCGCCTCATGTGTTGGCGGAAGAAGAGAGGCTTCATCTGCTCTGCCCTGTCAGAGCATTGAACATCTTTATTCAGAAGTCCTCTCATTGGAGGAGGTCAGAACAGTTGTTGGTGTGCTTTGGATCACCCAAGAAGGGACTTCCTGCTTCCAAGCAGACAATTAGTAATTGGATTGTTCAGGCTATTGCCTTGGCCTATCAGGTACGCGGTTTGCCTTCACCTGTGGCTTTGAGGGCCCACTCTACTAGAGGCATGGCGTCCTCTAGGGCCCTCCTGTCAGGAGTCCCGTTGCAGGAGATCTGCGATGCGGCTGGGTGGTCCACCCCGCGTACTTTCATCAGGTTTTATAGCCTGAATCTTCCCTCCACGCCGGGTGCACGAGTGCTCTCGTCCTAAGTTGTGCCTGGTTCAGCTTCACACTAGGACAGGCATGTTTTGGTGTGGCATAGTGGGTATCCGTTCCCCTAGTGTCGTTACCGACGCAGTGTGAGTTCCCTCGAGGGGGAACGTCTCGGGTTACGACTGTAACCCTTGTTCCCCGAGAAAGGGAACGAGACACTGTGTCTCTTTGCCACACCTCTCCTTGCCTGGGAGCGGCTTGCTTCATCGCAAAAGCTTACTCTGTTGTGTGCCGGCGTCCCTTTGTAGCTTCCGACTATGCTGTCATATGTTACGTCATCTCACACATTTCATGTCACATTTCTTGGGGAACAAGGGTTACAGTCGTAACCCGAGATGTTTTCTGTGAATGAGTGTGTAAGATGATTTTCACATCATTTTGAAGCAAAAACTCTAGACTTCAAGATCAAGTTCTCAAAAGTCTTGTGAACAAATTATTCTGTATGTGTTTTATGGCCTTATTTCAGTGACTTTAAAATTTTAGATTTTCACTAAGCACGCATAAACGTTGTTTTCTCAAAAACACAATCACGTAAATATATGCTGCTCACATATTATTGTAGCCCAGTTTGTGTTGATTACAGTGTTATTAAACTTTAGCCATTAAAATGTTTATAAGCATCTGAAAAAAGCACAAATGTCAGGGCATGTCAAAACTTCTCCAGGGCCCCAAAACACCCTCGGACCCCAGGTTTAAATACGGGACGACACCTCCAGTTCAAAAATTCTATATTTTTGTTATAACTTCTGAATGCTTTGTCCAAGAAACAAAATTCTTAGTTCACCTCTTCTAATGCTGATCATATTCAATACCATACATTAAGACATCAGAGCAATCACCATTTTGAAATGTACAGTATTTCGTTTTTTACTACTCCTTCAAATTGTAACCAAAATTGGGTCAGGTTTTCACTGGACTGAGCTTCACAGAAATTGATCTGGCAGAAACAGTGCCACGTACAGGTCAAGAGATCTGAAAATGTTTTTGTTTTTTTTGTTCATTACTTTTAAAACCTTTGTCAGAAAATCATGACCTTGGTGTCTACAAATTGAATGGATAATACGGAATCCACTTGTACCAAATTTGCCAAAATAAATAAATAAATAAAACCAAATCACCTATATGCAAAAGTTTTAAATTTGTCATAAATTATATTGTTTTTAAATGCTTTGACATACCATCACAGTATATATCATTGGCAGCTTATCCTGAAGTTATCTGAGAAATTTGAAGACAGTGAAATATAGGCTTCTATAGATGCAATTACATTGTACAAAATTCATTTTGTGTCTCTATGTGTTTACAGATTTCTTGGTTAAGGTAGATTCCATTTGTGCACCATTTTAAATATAGTTTTTTTTTTCCACTACTCCTCTGATGAAGTTGACTGTGCCTTTGTTTGTTGGCCTATGGTATGTATGGTATGCTATTAGCATTGTAATTGGCTAACATTTTAATCAGTGGCCATTTTCTCTAATGTCTCTCTTCAGCTATCAGGCTAACTACATGCTACATTAGCAGCTAAGTTAACTTAGCATTCTGATTGGTTAGAGCTACCTAATAAATTAAGTGCCGAGGAAGGTTTAATGGGGCAAATATTGCCCCTTAAGGGAAAAGTTAATTTCTGAAAATTCTAGATTAATGCTAGGTAAGTTTAAAAATGCTGATTGAAAAATATCTCTGGCTTTTGTGTTCAACATGTCATTTCAGAGTTTTGATTACTGCCTTATATTCTATTATAATGGCTATTTAATATTACCCCTAAACTTGGTTAGGCATGCTGCATGTTATTTTCACTAGGAAACTCAAAGCATTGCTTTTCTTTTTGAGTATTTTATGGCAATGCTACTAATAGTTAGGGCCAGAATAATTCAAGTACTTCCCTGGGATTTACATTTTCTAGGGTGATGAATACAGGCATGCTTATGTAATAGAAAGGGGAGGAGGACAATCTGCTATTATCTCAAGCATGATCCTAATGCAATATCAGTTGCTTTCTCTGTCGGATTACCCTAAAGCTTATTTAGTCATGTTTATTTTCAGAGGTGACTTGATGTCACAATAACTTGTAATTACAAAGTGTTGACAGGACAATGAGAGGGCATGAGTCATACATGGTTGTATGCTGGATTTACACATAAGTACTTCACGTCAAAGATTATCTGATATTGTAGCTAATGATGGGTCAACGGGTTAGGATCCATGTATACAGATATAAAGCATTATGATGCACCTAATAAATATTAAACTTAATCAAACGTGCAAATGTGGCCTACTTGTGTAAAATTATGTACACTCACAGGAAACATCATATCAGAAGTTTAAGAAAAGTTGTTTTATTTTACATGGAGTGAATCATAGATATGTATAGATGCCCCATTCGACGGCTCCAGGCACGTAGATGCAGCCGCCATCTTGGAACAGTCAACTTGATGTCATTCACCATACTGTGGGTTCTCACAGAGCCGTTGAGCCATTTTGTGCAGGATTGTGGCATCTTTCGAATATTCAGTGATTACTATGGTGAATGATGTCAAGTTGACCATTACAATATGGCGGACAGCTTACATATAGCGGCCCATAGAAACAGTCGCTAATGAGGAATCTATGTATATGTGAATTGCCAGGTGGAAGGCAGACATGTTGAGATCACATGACCAGCTGAATACTACTTACTTTAAGGCTGAAAATAAATAATGCATTTCTTCAAAGGCATTGTTAACTTCAAACTTTTGCCTGATGCTGCATCCACATGACTACTGTATGTGCCAGTTACTCACTCAGCCAGACCTTCAACTAACAGCAAAAGGACAAACCCATGTAGGGCCCATATTTACAGCCCATATGGAGCCCACACAGGCCCAATGAAATATGAATTGAATCATTATGTCCATACTTGTTACTTCCTTTATGTGCTTTTGGGCATCACAATCTGTGGTCCTTCCTTTCTGCAGCCTGCAGTAGGCGGAGCAAAATTTTATTTTGGAGTAGCCTACATAAATTCTGATCCCACTTGTGACATTAAAGCTTTATCGAACAGGGATACACAATGGAGATCTACACAACAAATGCATGTATGACAACACATTTTTAAAGTTCTGCATTACATTTGGTGGATTTTTTGAAATTTATTTATTAATTTATTTTTAAATCATAACTTTGTATTTTTTTTTTGCAGTTGTAGTGACAATCTTGTACATTTTTGCCACATCCTCTGCACAAGGTAAGTAAGGAAACAGTATACTTACACTTTAGACATGTTGGCATGCAATTACTATTACTAGTTTTATTTTATTTATTTAGCCTAGTCATTTATACGAGTGGATATTAAATTGATAATTAATTGAGTTTAATTAATCTAAATAGTTTATGAGCAACCACTAAAGTGGCGACTGACTGTAAAGTAGATGGACAATCTTTTTTTTTTCTGGATGGAGGCGGAGAATTTTTGACTTCAGCTTCAGCGAGCGAGCGCTTGAGTGTGGTCACGAGCCGTGCCCGTGCACTGTATTTTTCGGGTTGTTGCGTGACGAGGTGCCTGGCCGCGGAGCGCAAAGCCCAAAGACTACAAATTGCGTATGAGGCTTAACAAATTCAGAGAGCCACTAATCAAGGAAATGTTAGAGCAAAGCTACACACCCACCGAGGCTGCCGGATACCGCTTTGACTGGGCGGCGAGGGACAGTGCTAACAGTGGTAGCGTAGCGCTTGACGTGAGTTAGGAGTTCTGCAGTATGATTAACTGATTTTGGGAGTTTTGTAATGAATTCCGCTGTTTTATTTTTTATTTTGACAGGTATTTTGTTTGTTTGTTTTGTTGATTATGAGGCTGGGCAGAGCTAGGGTTTGTTTCCTTTTTCAGACTTTAGTTTTTTTATCTTAGACAGTTCGTTACCACATTGTTTTGTTTGTTGTAATATATTGAGTGCCAATTACGGAAATAACATTCAAAGAGTTTCTTTTAATATGTAGCAATACTTAGCCAAATCATAAACCCTTAACTGAACGAAAGAAATATACTATTGATACCTTCTAACAAATACAGATCTGTTTTAAAAATATTAATATTCAAATAACAAAACTGCCTTAACCCCAAGAAAAAGTACACGACTAGAAACTCGAATGGGAAATTGTATTCACAACATGTGGCAAGGTCATTTTTCATAAGCTATATATTAGGCAGTTTTTGCAGTGATAGTGGGGCCCATTGGTTGTAGGCATAAGCATAAGTATTTTTTAGTATAGAATCCAGAAAGACACACTATCCAGAAATATGAAGGAGTCTAATAGCATCAGCCTTCCAATTAAGTTCTGTGTACCAACAAACACTTATACAAGAAGACGACATTGCATATGTTTTTGTATCAACAGGGCATAATGGGAGTGAATACAAATGAACTTTGCACAAAATGGTTTTAGGTTAAAGGGATAATACACTTAAAATGAAAATCTTCTCATCGTTTACTCACCGTCAAGTCATTACAAAGCTGTATGATACACTTCTCTTGAACACAAAATAATATATTTTGTCTATTCAATGAAAGTCAGTGGTGTCCAATGTTGTTTTGGACCCCACTGACTTCCACTGCATGGCTGAAAAAAAAAGAAAACTGAGACATTTTTTCAAAATATTTTCTTCCAGCATTTTCATCCTGAACCTTTGAAGTTAACATGAAATGCAACCTGTTTTTTTTTTTCTTACTAAAATTATAGGGAGAGATTTTTTGTGTTCCCGGGAGTTGTGATACTTGGGTGTTACAAACCAGAATGGAGCCAGTTGGGAGGGGAGAGGTTAAAAACTATAATCATGTGCCCCTTTACATCCCATTTATCATAATAGCATCAGCAAAAAATAAAAGTCATTTCAGAGGCAGAAGTTATTTCATTTTGATTGGAGATTACAAATAGTTTGCACTGATAAATGTATCCGTTTTTGCGCCGATAAAAATTAAATCAACAACTTGCATTAAATCAATGTCATATTCATGTTTACTTTATTTTTAGCATTCAGAGTTGTTTTACCCAAATGAGACTAGATACCACATTTCATAATGAATCATGTCTTTCTTTCTCAGGAATTTGCCATCATGACGGAGGGAGCCAGTGAGTGACCTTACACAGAGCCTTAACTCGGAGTCTTAAACACAGTTTCATAAGAGATTTTTTTATTATTATTATTATTACATATGCATTTTATCATATATCACTTAAATGTATATTAACAGAATGATTTGGTAAGAGTAAAATAAGAGTGATCTGTCTTGATGTCAGCAGCAAAGTAGGTTTCAGTGGACAGATGGAAGGCAGCCATCATCTGCACCATTGTGGGAATGTGTCTTACAATATCTCAGGAAGTTCCTGCTGTAATGGTAGGAGAGACTCCTGCAGCTGTAATTTTTCACTAAAAGTAGAGGCTGATTCATAATGAGTTTAGGGCATGTACAAACAGATTTAACACTTTTTGTTTATGTTTCAATGTGTTGCAGGTACTATAACTCTAGGATTAAGCCAGCTGGTGGCTGACTGCTGTGGTTCTGTAGCTTACAATCCACTTAATGAGATTTGCTGTAATGGCAGGATTCTGACTCAAAGCAGCACTCACGTGAAATGCTGTGGCAAAGGTAGCTGATTCACGTCATGCAACTTGAACACCTTGACTGGCGCATTGTTCCGATTTTACACATTTTTGCATGCTTAAAAAATGTTGTTGAGGTTGATTGATCTTTATACCATTAGATCGAGGAAGACTTCTTTTATAATGAGATTTCTCCTACACTCATTTACAGACATGTACTTGACAGCGACTCATTTGTGTTGTGGTGGCAACAACATATTTCAATGGAAGGAAAATCATTCTTGTTGTGGCAAGGAAACATATGACAAGACAACCCACTGCTGCTGTACTAACCCTACACTAGAAGTAAAGCCTAAACATGAAACTTGCTGTTCAAAAACAACAGGTGTGTGTAAACAGCTCTTATAGTGATTATTAGATACAATAATTAATAAATAATTAAAGAAATGTGGTGCAAGTGGCTAAACAGTGGAGCAAAGACATCATGTACCTACTGTTTTCTTTCATGGGTTTTAGTCACACAGTAATAGATCTGTTTGTTTTAGTAGGTTATAATCTGAATCCTATTCTCACAGATAAAAAGAAAGAATCCCAGCAAGGCTCTCCTCCCACTCGGTGAGTCAAACAGACAGACAAAAATACCTCCAAGAGTATTAAGTAACATAAGTAACAGCTATATTTATTCACAGATTTCTTTCTTAGTGACTATACATTTTACAGTAATATATATATATATATTGCTATGTGTACTGCAAACCTTGCTACGTGTACTGCATTAGGCTAACCGAGACTTGTCATAGCACTTTAATATTATTGCTGTTTTGTTGATTTTGATTGCTTCTATTGTCCTCATTTGTAAGTCACTTTGGATAAAAGGGTCTGCTAAATGACTAAATGTAAATATACAGTCAGGTCCATATGTATTTGGAGACTGACACAATTTTTATAATTTCGGCTCTGTATGCCACCAGAACAGAATTAAAAATAAAAGATGATCAAGATGAAATTGAAGTGCAGATTTTAAAGGGTTAGTTCACCCAAAAATGAAAATTAGGCTGCGTTTTACTCACCACCGAGGCATCCTAGGTGTATATGACTTTCTTCTTTCAGACGAATCCAGTCGGAGTTATATAAAAAATTGTCTTTGATCTTTCAAGCTCTATCATTGCAGTCAGCGGGTGTTGCATTGCTTCAGTCCAAAAGAAGTTAAATAAAAAGCGCCCATGCATAAAAAAAGTGTCTCACACGGCTCCGGGGGGTGAACAAAGGCCTCCTGTACCGAATCGATGCGTTTTTTTAAGAAAAATATCCATATTCAAAACGTAATAATCACTTTAATCTAGCTTGTGCCAGCAGTTGTACACAGAAGCAGTTCCGGGAGCATGACGTATGAGTTCAGCGCTGCGCATGCACCGTTGAGTCTTGTGAAAACCAACGTTTGCTTACAGGATCAAAGGAAACAAAGTTTCCTTACATTAGCAAAGGAACACCAGTCTCCTCTTGGCTTATATCGAAATCCTCTGACATTCTTCTTTACAAATCCTCGTTTTGTACTTCTAATTCTTGACCTTTGTTTTGATCTCTCCTCTGCGTTTCCACGTGCGTCACTTCTGAGCGGCGCATGCGCAAAGCTGACCTCATGTCATTCCCCCGGAACTGCTTCCGTTTACAACAGTGAGCACAAGCTAGATTCAAGTGATTTATTATGTTTTGAATATGGATATTTTTCTTATAAAAACACATCAATTCACTACAGGAGGCCTTTGTTTCACCCCCCGGAGCCGTGTGAGACCATTTTTTTTTATGGATGGGTGCTTTTTATTTAACTCCTTTTGGACTGAAGTAATGCAACACCCGTTGACTGCAATGATAGAGCTTGAACGATCAAAGATAATTTTTAATATAACTCCGACTGGATTCATCTGAAAGAAGAAAGTCATATACACCTAGGATGCCTCGGGGGTGAGTAAAACGCAGCCTAATTTTCATTTTTGGGTGAACTAACCCTTTAAGATTTAATTCAAGGGGTTGAACACAAATATAACATAAAATGCTTAGGAATTACAACCATTTTTATACACAGTCCCCCCATTTTCAGGGGCTCAAATGTAATTTGACAAATATAATCATAAATAAAATGTTCATTTTTATTCTTTTGTTGAGAATACTTTGCAGGTAATGACTGCCTTAAGTCTGGAACTCATGGACATCACCAAAGTCTGGGTTTCCTCCTTTGTGATGCTTTAACAGGCCTTTACTGCAGCTGACTTCAGTTGTTGTTTGATTGTGGGTCTGCCTTTAGTCTTGTCTTCAGCATGCTCAATCAGGTTGAGATCAGGAGATTGATTTGGCCATTGCAGAATATTCCACTTTTTTACCTTCAAAAATTCCTGGGTTGTTTGCTGGGTTGCTGCATGTTTTGGGTCATCATCCATTTGTACTATGAAGTGCCGCCCAAACTACTTTGCTCCATTTGACTGAATCTGGGCAGACAGTATATCCCTATACACTTCAGAATTCTTACGG